GGGAGTCCGTGACTCTGTGAATTATGGTGGGACAGAGGACTAACTCTTTAGTTCCTACCCATTCGTTCAGTTTAGTTAAGATGCTGTTTGATGGCCGAGGCATCAGCCACAAGCAAGCATTAGAACAGTTGGCTGATGTACCATATTACCTCAGAGTACTTAACTGACCTGTTTAGAACTCCTCACACTGTCAGCTAAGAAACTCCTTAAGAAGTGGCCAGAGTGGAAAACAGATTCTCCCCAGAATCTATGCTTTAAAGGCCAGTCAAAAATATACAAAGCTCTACTTACTACTGGCGCACACACACATTCTTCCACTGGAGGCTCTGCCCTGACAAGGCATCTCTACACAGGGTCAGGTCATGGTGGCTATTTCAATTCAGAAGTAGCACAGCAACAGTACCTGGAACTCTGATCCCTGACCAAGTACTTCCATCCCCTTTGCAGAACCCACCCTTGCACCACACTTAAATGGTCACTTTACAACATGCCGTGCTAAGTCAGTTCACCAAACTCAATCCAGGCCTCCTGTCTAAAAAGCCTCTACTGCACTGCTGGAAGGAAACATCTGTACAGGTACTTGTAAACAGTTCAACTTATGAACATTTATTTATGAATCAGCTGCCTAAGTTACATGTAGCTATCATTGTGCTTAACTGATTATTTCCCCCCTCTCCCATCATTAACTTGATTTACCAAATGAGGTATACATCAAAAGTCAGCCCTAAAATAAGAGGGGGCAGGGAGGAGAAATGTAGAAGGTAACCAATGATTTTAAGTGGGAAAGTTCTACCAGATTCCTCCCTATCAACCAGGAATTCATTGTTCAAGATTTTTCCCTCAAATATTTACTAAATGGAAATCACTACTACAAACAATGAGAAACCGAACTCTATTGACCAGTGTTTTCTTCTTGCTTCTGTAGGAAAGTTCAACAACATAGCTGACCTTGGCTTTGCTTCAACACAGGTCCCCAGAGCAAAGCATCCTTCTCTAGCTCAGCTGCAGACAGAATGCCTGGTTTAGTCCCTCCTCTACGCACTGCCGCAGCAAATGCTCCCTCATAAGTCTTTTAAGTTAGCTACTATCATGGATAAACAGAAGGTAATTTACCCTATTCTACTCTTTAGTTAATATTACTTAAGCAGGTTTGGCAGCGTACTTCCTTCAACGGCCTTTTATTTAGCTTCATCCTTTAAGAGTTAATAGATAACGTCTCCTTTGGGATACCTTCCTTATTCTATTCAAGCAAACTATGATTTCAGAATTGTGCTACTAATAACACAGCAACCCTCAAAGAGGATTTGAAATTCTGGTCTATTCCTTCTAAAGATAAATGCAGTGTCAGCGTTCCCAGAACTAGAGGGGCATGTCTCAAGCAACTGCTCCTGCATCGTTGATTCATAAGGAAGGTGTCAAGAGTAGCACAAAGCAAGCCCTACTGTTACAGCACAGAGAGCAGAAGTCTGGTAAGAGCCAGGAGTGATCACTGAAAGACACCGAGAACCATGCCAAAAATTAGTGTATGATCACCACCACTGTTCATACAGTGAGATTTTTAGGTGCCACACAAATTCAAAAACTAGGAACAAGAAGTTGCTTGCTGAACCTCATAGCATATATCATCTTAAAGAAATACTGTGTCTTCCAGCCAAGCAATGAGAGTGGGAGTAAAGAATCAGTACCAGAAGATAACATCTCAAATACTCTCATTTTAACAAAGTCAGCTTACTGGCTCCAAATTACTCTGAAGTCAATAGGACACGATGCAGAACTACCTTAAACCCTAACAGCATTACCTTAAGCTTTATGCATAACCAGCAGTCAAGCTTCTTACTGCTGCTGCCAGGGCAATCCAAGACAATCACTACAGGCAGTGAAAATACCTCAAAGAACTGAAGTTTTGAGGAATTCTGTTCAGATGGACAGCATATGCTTCCTGTAACCTCAGTAAGAGGAAACTGATAGGTATTTGCTTACTGTAAGGATTACAAGAGTTGCAAAATAAGAGTTTCTCTTATTCTATACAAGAACACGCACACCAGTTGTGTAGTAGGTACTACTACACACCTGCAGACAATGTTTGTTCTTACAGCACATTTCAGGTGCACATTCAAGACAGTCCTCAATGTCCATTAATCAACATTCACTGCAGAAAAGCAAAGCCTCAAGTTTTCTCTGTACACTGTTAATTTAAGTAGTTCATATTGCACTACTCCTTCAAAAGGAAAACCCACTCAAACTTGGGTAGAAGCATCACCTCTGTTCAAACAAGTGAACCTGGAGTTGTGGTGCTACTGTTTACAGTACTCAAATTTGGAAAGGAGTGGGGGATCATCATCACTTTTTTAAAATCAATGTAAAATGACTATTGTATCTCAGAGCTGACAATCATTTTGACAGAATGCATATTATTGCCAGTCCACATTATGTATGACCATTCACCTGACTGTCTCCCAAGTACAATGTACAATTACTGCATGCATACACACACACGTAATGAAGATCTCTGCATGAAGACACTAAAAAGACAGCCTTACTGGAAGATACCACTAAGTCTCCGGCTAAACATGAGTTCACATACATCAGTGAACAGGATGCCTGGGTTCAATGACTCCTTTTCTGAACTTGTAGTCCAGGCATAGAGTTAACAGATGGCTAGACAAGTAAATAGATACAGTGTTTATTTATTAACAGATTTCTGGTAGCTAGACTAGCATCTCGTAAACTGGCAGAAGTCTATGTTCCATATCAAAGACTTTAAAGAGGACTTCAGAAAAGGCTACTGTCATTTTCTTAGATGAGAAGGTACAAAAGTGCTTAAGAGAAACTAGATAGCTGAATCCAAAGAGATAAGCAGGGAGGCAACAAGCAGTGGGGTAGCAGATAACATGTACCAAAAACTAGAGGGAGGGTGTAGTGGAACCCATTACACTGCCCACCTCACCCATCAAGAGCAGTCACAGAAGCAACATGGATAAGCTTTTGTTTACTTATGAAATGGATCCAAGGGAAATATTTTGGAAAAATATGTTATTTCCTTCCCCCCCCCCTCAAGTCAGGTCCTTTGTCCACTGCTCCATACTCTGACCCCCATATACCTACAGCTGTGCAAGTTACTGTTTTCTTGTTCCTCCTCACTTTTGCACACTTATGATCTTTACCCTGACAACAATCCCAAAGTACTATAGCATACTTCTGCTCTAGACTCAAACATTAATCCAACAATTTTTACCCATACCAGCAGGTAACCTAGTATCCTCTGGTGACACACAACTCCTACAAAATCACAGAAGCAAGCTTGGCTCTTGTCTTTATAAACTGTTCAATCAATTTGTAGCTAATAATTGCAATAAATGTAATTCAGAACTTCTGCACACAGAAGCAACACTTCGTAAGAAAAAGCACTCAGCTTCTGACCACAGTTTACAAGCCTTCCTTAATAAGCCTTCACTTCTCAGTTGACTCTCCAATACCATCAGTTCTTACCTAGAAAAGTGTTGCTGCAGATAGGTACTCTGTTTGAAGGGACAAAATGAACCCTTCCACCCAGGCTTCGTAAGGAATTGATTAGGGAGAGCTACAACTCCAGCTTATTACTCCTGTTCATGTAGGATCACTCACTGATCACATGCTTTCTTTAGCCAAAAGATAAGAGAATTACTGGAATTAGGGAAGAATCTTTGAGAGGTAAGGATGTCTGAAACAGGAAACATCAACTACAGGTTCGTTCTGCAGAGCAGGACCCTGAACCAAAGCCTCAGATCTTAGAGAGTCTCAGTGGGGAAAGTTTCACCACCTCAAGACATCTTTGATATCTAATGCCCACCAAAGGGCAATAGGCTGGTCAGCTAAATATGAAACTGTGGTATTTCAGCACACACAGAGTTAGGAGGTGCTCTAAGGATTTTTTAAACCAGCTTGACTGCAGCATCTGCTACATCCTAGTTAATCCTCCACAAGTGGTTTTAAAATTCTACCCCTGCCTGAGAGTTGCAGTTCAAGAGTTGAAGGCTGTGCTTTTAAGACTGGAAGTTAGAGCCTTCGTTTCCTTTGAAACTTGGGGCATTTTAGCTCAGCTTGCCAACTCAGTTTCCTCCAGGGAGGAAAAGAGGAAGCTTCTCTCTCGCAGAAAGGAGTAGGACTGTAAAGATTCAAGGGTTGAGGTTTTTTTCAAATCCCATTACCTCAGTTAAATTAATTTTGAAATGGTGTACCTGATAGCCTCCAAGCAAAACAAAAGCAGCCTAGGAGTTCTGCAGATCTCATCAGAGCCCAATTCGACAAAAGGACTCCCAGCAGCC